TAGTATTTTACAACAGTGTTTTTCTGCTCTGTGTGTATTAAGGCATTGGAATTTTACAAAGTAGCCAGCTTGATTTCACTCCTAAACCCATGAACCCTGAGAAATAAATTGAATCTGGACTATATTAAGGGGAATTGCTGTGTCTGCACTGCTTCTTAGTCTTCACGGTAGGATGGTTCCTGAAAAATGTCTCACTCTTTCTCCTACTGTTTTCACAGTAGATATATCAACATTATTTTTCTTCACGATTTTCTAAAGGATATATTGCATGTATGCTTTTTTTTCCTCTGCTCACAACCATTAACTGAGAGGCTGCAGGACAATGTGAGCATCTCACATATACAACATTCTATATTTTCACGCCAGATCTTCTTGGGTCCAGTGTCGTGGGCCATGGTGAACAAAATCAACAAATCTTGAACAGACAAATCTTTGTCTGTTTTATATTCATAACATATCATTTCTGGAGCTACTTATCTGGGCAGCAACATATGTAGTTGTAAAATATATTCATTATCTTCACTACTTACATTGAATTATAAGAATCTTGTGCTGATAAAGATTCCTTTATGCTGAATACTGTTTAATTTATAATGGTTTTGCTACCTATAGATGGTTATGAGCAGGAATCTGCATTGTAAATATATTAAGCATTAACCCAAACCCTTCCTGAAACATTTGGACATTTTTGCACCTAACCAAAGCCTCCACAAACATTCAGAGAGTGTTGGAAAGGCTCACTCAGTCTCAAGTAGGTTCTTGCCAAGAAGAGCTATTTTCACAACTCTAAAATCCTCTCTCCACCACAGGCAGTTGTGTGTCTGCTCCAGGACCTTCCAGGCACTTGAAGGTTTGAGTTCCACTGTCTTCAACTTTTTTCATTAAATTTACTCCCAAGTTGTCTTCATTGTCAAATTTTATTTGCTTGATTAGACCATAGCTACACCTCTTCTTTCATTTTTCATCTCTCCTCTAAGTTCATATTTCTTTTGTCATTCTTAAATTCCTTTTCTCCTTACTGATGTCATTTCTGCAAGAAACAACAGTGACAGTAAGGGCAAGAAAACCCTAATCTTACACTGTACTCTAAGGTCAAAAGCTCTGTAAATTGAGCGTGGATCTGCAGGTTTGCAATCTGAGCTGCAAGCAGAGAACTGAAGACCCTCTGAAGTCTATTGTTCATTCCTCTGAAAAATAATGCTTATTTTGGTGAATAGGTTAAGCATATAACTGAATATCTTTTTATCAAAATTTTCTATAAGGATTTTTGATTTTTTTTATGAAGACATACAGCTTTTTCCTCACTTAGAATTTCAAATGCTTTTTACAACAGATCAAAAGCAGAGACAGTGTTTCAATTCACATGGTGAAGAATTGGTTTCCCAAACAATTTTCCTGTGTAAAAAACTCAGCTTTTTAAAGTCTCCATAGTCCTAACTTAACAACATTGAACAAACATACACATCACCTTTGATGGTGTAGTTTGCACAGGCTAAATCACACTAGGAGTTATACAATCATTTAATATGTTATGTGTGAAAGAATTAAATAGGTCTCTAAACCATACAAACATCAAGTTATTTTTTTTCAGAATTTACATTGTGAGACCTCATAAATACTAAAAAAAAAAAAAAACTAAAAATAAAATGCATTTTAAATAAGAGGTTGCTTTTTTTTTTTTTTTTTTACTTTTGGTGTGAATACTAATGATCTAGTTTCACAAGGAATGACAGAACTGTGATGTTAATGTCAATCACACCAGTTTCTAGTAGTCTCTCTTCGTTACCACAGATAATGCAAGAACCACACTGATCAGACCCATTCTTTCCACAGAACTTGGTGAAAACAGTGAACATACTTTCTCTGTAAACTACCTACACTTTTTTTTTTCAGCCCTATTTTTAAACACTGTAGAAGTTTTCTTTACACATTCAAAAATTTGCCGTGTTTACTTTGAATTTAAGCCAGTCAGCATGCATGCTATTGGCTCAGAAGTTTAAACAATCATCAAATACAGCTTCTCCCCTTTTGGTTTGTCTTGATTAAAAATGTGCACTGTAAGCAAATTGCCTTCCTTTTGATATTTGTTTCAGTTGCTAAGATTGTCATCACATAAAGCAAGTTACTGTTTTTATGCCAGAAAAAATAAAGAATATGTAAAATGCTTTCGGTATAGTTTTCTATCATCAGGGACAAATTAGGACCTTAGTAGCTGGGGTGCATTGGAAGTGAAGAAGTGCAGGAGCACATCTAGTACCTCTGACCTAAAAGGAACTTAAATCTTGGAGTTACCTGTCTCTGAGCATAGATGAACCCCATCAGGCCATCTTAACGGACACGTAGATTGATAACCCCTCTAAAGCTTTGCCCTCCTTTTGACTGGTAGGCTTGCCCAAAGCATTTTGCCACTGTACCTGCAAACTCCCACCTCGTCTCTTCCCAACCTGCTTCTGCTGAGGCACAACCAATTGCCCAGCACAGGCATTTTAACATATTTACCTGCAACACTTACGGTGGGACTGTAGTCCTTTGTGTGTGTTTTAGCAATTTACTCCGGCCTTAAAAATCTTATATTTCAAGGTTAGTCCTTTCAGCAATTACAGGAAGCACCAGCACGTACTATGGAAACCTATCTGCTCCAAAGCTGGCTTTCAACTCTCCAAACAAGGTGGCTGTGAAAGTGCAAATAGCTACTGAGTAGATGCAGTCACTGTGTACAGGAAGCTAGGATCAAGTTCAAATAAAACTTCTGGGCAACAGTTCTCAGCAGCTGATTTTAAAGTAGTTGTAATGTTCAAAGCTATCTATTTATCTCTACAGCAGAGGCCCTGGGTATTATATACCTAATGAGTTAAACCACTTCAGCAATCTTCTTTCAGGTTAAAAAGGTATTTTAACTTTAAAGTTAAGTTAATACCTTTAAAAGGTATTAACTGTTCAGTCCATTTCTGATAGATGAGATCAGCTATACAGAATTTTAATACTGTGTTTCTTAAAAAAATGCATCTCTCTTTACTTCTTTGTGCTTGAGTGAAGGTTTTAAGCCTCTATATGTTCAAAATAGACAGTATAATATTACTGTTACTGTTTAGGGCTGTTTTTTTTCAGGAATTACTGGTCACATGCACACTCCTGTTTGTGGATGTAAAGCCCAAGTAAATAAGTAAAAAGAGAATAAGACATAATATTTGTCCTGAAGAATTTATAGCCAATGTCCTCATCTGATAAAAGGATTGTGTTCTTAACTATGTGTGGCTCCATTGATCTCAATGGGAATATTCACAGTATTCACAAAAACTATGCATGTGTATAAATCTTTGTGAAGTTGGGAGGTAAATTATGTTTTGTTTGTTAGAATTTACTTTGCTTTAATGATTTTTTAAATGAAAACCATATGCAGTATTTTAATTATTTATAAGTACCTGAATTTCATTAGAAAATAAACAAACTATATTATGTCAGGCAGCAGTAAAAAAATAGAAAAGATAAAGATCAACGTTTCAGAAGGACTTTTATATTCTTAAAGTTAAAAAGCTACATTCTATCAAAAAAAAAATCATACCTAATATGCATTTAAATAAATGGGAATATTTCAACTCAGTATAAATGCTAAATTCATTGAACATTGGAATGAGGTATATAGCCAAATATGCACAAAGCCACCGAGGTTAATTCTGCCACTCACGCTTCCAGGACCATATTATTTTAGGCCTCTTACTTCTTTTGACAAAAAGTTACTGATGCAAATTTCAGGTTTATTTCAGGAAATATATCTGAAAGTATCTTATTTATATGTAAATTCCTTGTTTTATTAGGTACATAATTTCCTAAAGTATCTCCATACTGTATTTCTTAATCTTAAAAATACAAAGGCATTTGGCTCTAGATAAGCTCAAATACTACTGTCATTCTTGGCATGAAAGGTCTGCTTTCCTTAATTGTCCATTTTGTCGCTATCTTAAATATATTTTCATTGTGAATCCAGCACCGAGGACAGTGACTTCAATTGTATATTCTTTTAATCAGAAATACATGTCAATGTTGCAATAAAAACACAGTTTAGAAGAGATCCATTTCAACAAAGCATGAACGACTGATCACGACGTAACTAACGTACAGCTAGAACTGAGGAGAACTGGAATGAAAGCGGGGTACTAATTAATCCTGGATGACAGCCCGTTTGTAGGGCGCGAACGGGACAAGCCAGTGCGGCTCGTTAAGCTGTGCTCAGCTGTGGAAAGGGCAGATCTGGGAGCCCGAGGAGGAGGAGAGGAGCTTTGCTGGTGTCAGGCGCCGTCGGACGGCGTCTGCCCAACGCGTCGCCGTCACCCGCGCGGCCACCGCGGGTGTTTGGTCTGGGCTTTTCCCTTCTGTGTGGCACCATCTCCTCCCAAGGCCTGTCTCCCTGTGACAAGGACTTGGTTTTGGGAACGGCAGTGGGAAGGTTATTTCACAGGGCTTCCTTGAGACGCAGTCATGTGAACTGCAGTCCCCGGTGTGATGTATGTCCCAGCGGGAAGCCGTATTCCCAAGGAGCCTCCATGTGCTGGGCAGGCCCCACAGTGTTGCAGCTGACACCCACCACGGCAGGGGGGTGGCAATTCCAAGCTCTTTGGAATGACTCTGTCGGGTGTTTACGGGCCGTGGTTGCCTGGCCAAGTCTCCTCGCAAATGCAGCTGCTGAAGCCTTTCACTGATACCCGGGGTGTTTTGTACACGGCAAGTGAGGCACAGGACGAGTCTGCCACGCGAGTCACTGCCCGGAGCTCCGCGGGCAGAGAAAGAGTAAAATGAAAAAAAAAAAAAAAAAAAAAAAAAAAAGACAGAAAAAAACCGAAAACCGCCGTCGGGCGGAAGTGCCTTTTTTAATTCTCGTTTTCTGCGGCTGCGCGGGGCCGCGCCGCGGGGCGGAACGTGCGGGCCGGGCCGCGTGGCGCGGGGACGCCTGAGCAGAGGCACCGGCGCGGCGGGGGCAGGAGGAGGAGGAGGAGGGGGGCGCCATGGCCGTGGACATCACGCTGCTCTTCAAGGCCAGCGTGAAGACGGTGAAGACCCGCAACAAGGCGCTGGGCGTCGCGGCGGCCGGTGACAGCGCCAAGGATGAGCTGCTCAAGCGCGGCGGGGCCGCCCGCGCCAAGAGCGACTTCTCCGGCCGGGCCCGAGAGGTGGTGAGTGCCGCGGCGCCCTCCCTCTCTCACCCCGGCGGGGCCCAGGCGTCCGGGGGGGCGGCTGTTGGGGGGCCTGGTGAGTGGGGGGCCCCGCCGGCCGCCTGCGAGGCCGCGCCGGCCACAGGGGTGTGACGACACGGGCCGGAGGAACCGGCGGCAGGTGCCTGGCCGGGGATACGCGGCGCCCGGGGTAGACGTGCTGGCCCCGGGGCGTGGGTAGACGTGTTGCCCCGGGGCGTGGGTAGACGTGTTGCCCCAGCTTCTCCCTGGCGTCAGGGGTAGACGTGTTGCCCTAGCACCTGTCTAAGGTAGACGTGTTGCCCCTGCCCGGGGTAGACCTGTTGTCCCAGCGCTCCCCTGCGTGCAGTAGTGCTCAGGGAGGCCGTCTCTGCTCGGTGTGCAGAGCTCATCGCAGCCTTTTGAGAATGCGAAAACCGCGGAGTTAAGGAGTTGTAGAGCTGAACGTGTCCAGGAACAAGGAAAAAATTGTGTTGTGCACATCAGTGCTGTAAATTTGTTGCAGACCATCTTCCACTCACTGCAAGCACAGTAGGGGAAGAGTTTGGCCTGGCAGCAGGTTTGAGTGCTGTGCATTTGTTTAGGTGTGAGTGAAGCTGTCTGTCCAGTGCATTCCCTGAGGAGAGGCTTTCAGGAAAGAGCATGTGAGGATGGCGGCAAAAGTATGTTGTGATGGCACGTGTGGGTTTAGGACTGCCCCAAGAGTGCATTGATAGTCTTGTTTCTGTCACTTGCTGTGTTCTGAATAGGTCAGTTTTCAAGGGCAGAGATTAATGTTTAATTTAGGTCTTAAATGTACTTTTTCAGGGAAAAAAGGTACTTAAATTAATGTTCTATAGCGCTTAACATTTTGAGTAGTTTGGTGATTGTTCTGAGGCTTAAGGAAGGATGTCAAGTGTATGCTAAATGAAAACATAATTATTAACTTACTTTTAAAAGATGATTTAAGTGCCTTGCTCTTGTGCTGACTCTGAGTTCTGTAGTAAGAGGCTATCTACATGAGTAAGACTGGTCCACAAAGCTATATCCAAGATTCTTGCAGATGATATATATATATATATATATATATATATATATATACACACACATATATATATATTTCTTTTTTTTCTGTCATCTCCTGATTTTAGCAGGTATTTAGGTATTCCAGATTCTTCAGCCTTAGAGCAAACAGACTTCTTCAGTATTGCCCTGGAACAAGGCAGCCTTTGTAATTTTTAACACAATTAGCGTGTGTGTGTGTGTGAGAGAGAGTGAAAGAGAAGAGAGAGAGAGAGAGAGAGAGAGAGAGAGAGAGAGAGAGTATGAAAGAGAGAGAGAGTATGAAAGAGAGAGAGAGTATGAAAGAGAGAATGAGAATTCCTTTTTTTTTTTTTTTTTTGAAAGGATTGAAATTCTGTCACATGGCAGCATATTGGCATTTATCTATGGTTAACACAATTGAGACTTTTAAATTTGCTGTTCAGAATTACTGGCTCTTGGGCCAATGCTGGACACAGGTTGTTACCCTGTATGGATTTTGTGCTGGACGGTGTGTGGATGCTTTACCAAAGTGTTTTGCAGCTATTTGCTAAGGCAGCGGAAGTGAGAAATTTGGGATTTTCATATTTCATTCTAGATGCTCTTGCAGCCATGGACTTCTGTTCATTTCCTGCAAAGCTTTAACTTTCTGCCCTGTTGCGTCCAGTACTGGCTGTGTCTGCACTTTGGTCCCATCTCCACGTTTCTAGGTTTCTGATCACAGAAATAGGCTGGATTCCAAATAATTTATAGCCTCAGCTGGACCCGTACTTGCTTCCTCACTCTCACTTTTATATCTGTCTCCTCTTCTAGGGAGCCAGTAGTCCCTTGACCTGCCTCCCATTTCTGGTTCCTCCTTTGTCTTCATCTTCCTCAAGCTCTCTTCACCCTCGCCTCCATCCTCCTCTCACTGCATATAGTCCTGTGCTGTATCTGTGTGCTTTTCTTCCTACCTTTTTCCTATTTACATCTACATTAAGACAAAGTTAAAAATCTGTTGCCAAGCATCTTTGAAAATGGTCCGATTTTAACGGGGAAGTAAAACATGTAAACTGCAGTTGAAGGGTAGAATTTGTAGTAAAATTAATGGTAACTTTCTTCCATTGATTATGAATGTGTGTAAACCTCCTTCAAAGACTTTAGTATATCCTTCATATTAAACATTTAGCTGCTTCTGCCAAGACTAAACAATTTAATGTGCAAGCGTAATCTTTGATACCCACATTAATTCTTTAATATGTTTCTAATTTTAAAAGCATCAAAAAATCCAACAAATCATTTTCTCCATACATACGATTACTTTTTTTTGGTTTTATTTTTAACATGAAGAAAACATCAAACTGTTATGATAATTAAAGATGATTGTCAGGATCCACACACAGTCACAAGAGGGACTTTGAGTAATTTATACACAGTTGGAGCTTTTTTAATGCCAATTGAGTAATAGTTGAAGATCTCCACTTGTCGCTCAAGTATGGAGATGTTGAAACACCCACGCTCAGTCTCTGCACAGACACTCTTTGCACGTTCCACGAAGCTGTTTGCAGAGAGCCCAGGTCTGGCTCTGCTCTTGCTGCAGGGACACGAGCCGGCTCTGCCCCACATGGGGACAGCCTAGAGGAGGTGTCCTGGCTCGCAGAGCGCCCGGCCGCCTGCCTGTCGCACCGGCTTTTCCTTAGCCTGTTTGTTTTGTATCTCTGCATTAATACGCTTGGTGCTGCTGTCACAAGTGACGTAGCTATATCTGTCGTACATGGCATGTGTTCTTTCCGCTTTTCCCCCAAAGAGTATGCGTTTTAGTAGGACTCCAGGTTTGGGGGAATGCTTACTCTGTTTCTCATTTTTATTTATTTGTTAATAGATTTGAGATCTAATTGGTACTTAGGAAGGCAGATTGAAGCAAAAGCTGGCAAAGTTGGAATAGTGGAATTTTGTTTTCTAGTTTTGCATCTTGCTTAAGACAGCTCTGTATCTGCCCAGTCTTTATGGTGAAGTTTCACTGGAAAATGTGGTTATAAAGTCCTGTTTTATACTGTCAGACTTTAAGTCTATGTACGTAGGAACTGAGTCAGGTGGGAAGAATGTGCAACGTAAGAACCTTGACTTGAATCAGCACTGTGTGAAAAACCTGTGTACAAATGGAGAGGTTATGTCTTACCTACTTTTCATATTTTGTTTACTCTTAGAAATACTTCAGCATTTGCATTTTGAGAAGCTTGATAGTTTCATGGTCAGATTTGCTGCCTTGTTGCAGCCTGGGGGCATTAACAGAGGTTTGCGTGCTTGAGACCTGCGTGGTGTCATGAGGATGTAACCAAGTTAACCAGAGACTGGGCAAAATGTGACTTGCAGAGGCTGCTGCTGGTGTCATCGAGCTGTGACTGAAGTGTTCATCTGTGACTGCTCTTCTACATCCCCGAGCACTGTGCTACAGCCTCCAGCTTTTCAAAGGGTTTTTATTTACCCCCAGCATTAGCTTTTCACTATTTTCTTCTCTATTAGCTGTATATGCATCAAGCACTGGGCTGTCTAGTGTGTAATAAAAGATGAATAAGCTGTACATGTGGTGTGTGATGTATGTTTTGGGGAGCTCTACTGTTCATTGTTCAGATACTGACTAGGACCATGATAAGAATTGGCTTCTGTGGGATTCCTTGCAAGAAATGGGCTTGCCAATATTTGTAACTTATGGAAGGCTCTTAGAATTTACGGTGTCTGTATGTATGCATGCTTTTAGGTTAACTAACACAAAATCAACAGAATGGCCTTTTTTCTGAGCCATTGTTATACATTGTGTGAGGGCACTGAGGTTTGCTTCTCAGCACTCTTTAGCCAGCTTTCCTGGTTACCTTGTATAGTATCAGATTCAAACTAAAATAGAGTTTTTTGCTAAGCAGTTGAGGACTGTAAGGATGAGAGCAAAAGTACTTAAAATCTTTGGACTGGAACTAAGTGTTCAACAGCAAATACAAGCTCCGATGGAACATAGACCTAGTTTATATGACATTTGGTGACTCCTTTACCATAGTCTTAAACCTACCATTTAGGATATTTTAAAAGATTGTACATTTTGGAAGTATTTGGAATTTTAACTTGTGTTTTAGGACAGTCTTAGAAAATTATAGTATTTAGGCCTTTCCTGATGCTTTTTATGGCAAGTATGAGCTGTTAGAAGATCATCTGTCCTGAACATATGCTTCTCTGGAAATATCTTCAATTTAACATGGATGTCTCCTAAATGTGCTGCAGAAATGCAGGAGGGAATGCTACAGCCTATTTATGTAAGTAAAGACAAATTAATAAAGACAGATGGAGCTTTATGATAGGTTTGTATATAACTGTGAATGGAGCTTTTTTGTTTGTTTTGTTGTAGGGAGATTAAGCAGGTATTTTGAAGCTTCAAGTTTTATGAAAAACTTAAAAAAAATGATGTGATAGAGCATAAATTCTTCAAAAGTAATACCAGATATATCCAAAAACATATCCGTGAGAATGGAAAATTTGAAAGGTTAAATGTTTCTACATTTCTAAATACAAAATTTCAGAATGATCAAATATGTATGTTTGAAGCTGTTGAATACATAAGGACGCCAGATTCATGAGGTTTCAACATCTGCTATTCATATAACTTCTGTGTATGAATTCTATAGGATGATTAACTGATTAAGAAAATGGTATGATAGGCCACTATTCACATCACGAATATGTTTGGCTGCTCTGTACAGATATTTAATGAGGAGGGAAAAACCCACATAACGACTTGCCTCCTAGTTCTTGTGAAAGCCACAACAACTGACATTGCATATGAATTTTGAAGAAATGTCATTGAATATGAATTTTGAACCAATTTTGGGGCCTCCTGACTTCATACTACATTGCAGTGGCTACAGACGGGTTTCAGTTATCTGGTTGTAATGATGTTTTTCTTGTTTTTTAATTCGCATTGAATAAAACAGCCTTTT